CTCTGGAACTAATAGTGTTAAGAGCCAGAGCTAATATCATTAGGCCCTGAGCTAATAGCATTCAATCCAGAGCTAATATATGCAGTATGTTAGCTCCAAATCTAATAGCATAGACTCCAGAACTAATACAAATTACATATGCTTCAGAACTAATATACGTTAGCTCCAGAGCTAATAATGTTAGCATCCAACTCTATATAGCTATATAGCCATACATAAAGCAAAGCTATATGGGACCGCCTTGTTTATGGTTCCAAGCAAAATGCTCCAAGGCGACGATTTTGACATAAGCAGACTGCAGCCGTTGATTGACCAGTAGAGCTACTGGATGACCCGCCCAGCAAAACTTAAAACTACATCTGAACCTCCACTTCCTCTCTGATTGTGTTTAGTGTTTGTTGTTTTTAACAGTTTCTAGTATGGAAACTCCAAAGATAGTGCCAAGGACCAATGATGAGGTGCAGACCTTCCTAACTTTATTGGTCGACGTTAGGATTTAGCGTGAGCTTGACCGTGCCACAAGAAATGAGCACATTTGTCGAGAGATATCGGAGATGATGGTGCAGCATGGCTACACCTGGACATAAAAGCAGTGCTGGGATAAGCTAAAGAAACTGAAGTCTGATTATAGGACGATTAAGGACCACAACGGTCCTTAGTGGCTCAAACACAATGACCTATTGCCATTCTGCCCACTTTACATTCACAATCCCACCCACAGAGTAAACAAGGGGAAACAAGTCCTCCCATCCATCCATTATCTTTACCCGCTTCTTCCTTTTCGGGTCGTGGGAGTCACTGATGTAGATGTCCAGCCATCACTGTGTGCGAGAGGAGGGGTACACCCTGAAACCGTGGGCTTTCTCCGAGTACTCCGGGAAACAAGTCATGGTGACAAATCACCTACACCTGAGGAGAGTCGATAAGACAAGAACTGAGTGGAGTCACACTTATCAATGTCAAAGCAGCTTTTATACGGCGTTAGCTCCAAAGCTAATAAATTTCATAAGTTGATCACATTTGATTGTTTCAACCCATAAGGGCTAATACAGCATATAGCTTCAGTGTCACGTTATAACTTTTTAGCCTTAGTCTCCACCGATGTACATCATTGCCCCAGAATGCATTGCATTGGTAAAATAATGGCAATGTCCTTAAGTGAAACATGTAATAAACATATAATTTTTGTAAGTAATTCATTTTCACACGTCACAAACATCAACTTTTAGTAGAATAGACAAATTATTAAGGCTGATATGTGCAAGTAGTCAGAGATCCCTTTAAAGACCTAAAGGTGCTTAAACCTTTAAAAAGTCATTTAAATTAGCTTTTTATTTAAGGTCGAGGTCACTTTATAAGCTGTGGTGTTGTGCAGAACTGGATCATAAAATCCAGTAGTATTCTTGTGCAGCTGAAGTTCGGACCACGGGGTTCAGCAGACTGTAGTTCAGAGGGGGCAGGGGGGTCGACTGTAGAAACTTGTTTTTTATCAGTGGTTTTTCGTCTCTGGTTCTGTTGAGAAACAACTGGGAATGAGTGATTTGTGAACACCAGCAGAATGTGTTAGGTGTGGTGGTTAATTTAAAACAACCTCACGCCAGCTCAGTTTTTAATTTATTTTTTCAAGTCGAATCAAAAATCTGTGAGTCAGAGCAGCTGTTTTCTCTCTGGAGACACTAAAGGGCGGGTTAGTGTGCATTTTGTTTTCTTCCCAACAAGCCGGTTCATTTGTTTATTACCAACATGTACTGGATGTTGCACGTCATTTGCATTCTTCATCTTTGCATTATTCATGTGTTTGTGTGTATTTTGGTTTTGTGTGTGTGTTTGTGTGTCCAGATGAGGACTTATCAGGCTATAGCTGTCTGCGTAGATGTCCTTATGGAGGTACTGTAGCTTTTACAGCAAATGTTGGGAGCAAAGAGTTGAAGAAAAAGCTTAAAAATCCTGAGCTGGATTTTTGAAAACTGTGTGGCTTGTCTGCTTGTTCTTCACTGGATTTGTCATGATTTTTGTGAAATGATGAATACAATAAAATTGACATATGAGCTCATCATCCTTTAGCTATACATTTAAACTGATAGTTCAGATACAGACGTACGGTTCTGATGGAAAGGTTAATATCTTACCTGTTGCAGATAGCTTTTTGAACTACCTTAGTTTGTAGAAATAGTTAAATTTTGACTGACTTGCTGCTGCCTTAAAACATCTTTAATCTCAATGATTTTACAGTGATTCATGCAAAACTATTATTTGAAACTTGTCATTGTTGTAAATTTCACATTACATGATTTTTTTTTTTTTACATAGACTTGTATTTTTTTTTTTTTTTTCATTTAGCCTTTATTTATCCAGGTTAGTCTCATTGAGCCACGAGAACTCATTTTCAAGAGAGACCTGTTTAGGGAGCACATGGTGGGGTTAAGGGCCTTGCTCATGGGCCCAGAGTGGGGCGAATGAGGGTGGGGGCAAGTGTGGGTGTTTCACCTACCCCACCCACAATTTTTGATGTTGTCGGGGCCGGGGCTTGAACCGGCGATCTTCGGATCACAAGCCCACCTCTCTAACCTCTGCGCCACCACTCCCCAATACAGTACATAGACTTGTATGGTTATTTACAAGTGAAATAGCGGCAACTGCAGCTAGCTGTAGCACTTCAGTGCAGCCTGGGCCTTTTCCAGCAGAATGTTGTAAAATGTCTGCCAGAATAACTGAATAATGTGGAGGTGATGGCAGGAAAAGGTTTATAATGACGTGTTTGCATAAATCTACTGTGAAATTCACAAGATTGTAGCTGTTTTAAGTTGTATCCTCTTTAGTCTGGGTCCTGGTCGAACTAACTTTTAAGGGACAGAGGCAGAGCTCCTGGGAAATGCCTCTCGCTGCAGTGTACATCACCGCATGGGTTTCTTCTCTCCAGAGTCTCCACTCCGTCCCTGCAGCCACCATTTGGCCACGCATCCCTCATGAAGAGCGCGCCACACTTTTCAGCAGGCAGACTCCTCCATGCACGATGTCTGCACGAGCTCCATCCAGGAGTTTTTGACCATTTGACTAATTTATTGTGTTTGAAGCGTCATACAGATGAACATCAGAGCACTTTTGCACATTGACGAGCATGCCCACAAACTTCTGACCAATCACACAATACTTGGCACATACTCCTGTGAGGAAAAAGTTTGTATTCGGGCTTTGTGCTGAGAAAGGGCGAGCGAAGCTACTCTGAGCACAAAATGACGTGATTTTCGTCGCGCAACTTCATCCACGAAAGCCCATTTCGCTGCTTCAGATGGAGATGCAGGGCCCTTTTGTTAATCAGTCCAGTAAAGGGTTAATTTATCCAAACTGTTCAAAAAGCTATCTATAACAGGCAAGATATTAATTTTTCACAACTGTTCCACAGAACCGAGCTCTAACTGATCTAAACTATCCCTTTTAGGACACATCTTGTTGTCCAGGAGCTAAAACACAAATTCTGAGGTAATGTTACATTTTAGTTTTGTGTTAAAGTGTTTTCTTGTGCTTGTTTTAACATTTCTATGAACAAGTGCATCTAATTACTCATCATCGCATTTACTGTCCCCGTTTGAGATTTTAGGAACAAAATTTTAGCGCTCCACACAGACAAAATGTTAGTTTTATGCACAAATTGACAGAGGGGTTTTTTAGTTGTTTCTTTTTATAAACTTCTATTTTTACTCCAGCTGGAAGTTATTTACCAAAAAACAAAAGGCAAAATTGTACTTTATGAGAGTTTTTAATGAAGCTTAAAATAAGAAGCATGTTTTTTTCCTCGACCTGTGAGAAATTTTCCAGGTGAAGTTCAAACCACGATGTTTCAAACCATCAAAAGTATCTGACAGATGTCTTGTTTTATCTCCCGAGTCTTCTCAGACAGTCGAGTCTTTTCATGTTTTACTCCACAGACCACCACCAAGGTTCTGCTAAGGGTTTATAACTTATTCACTTACTTTAGTTACTTAATAGATGAACAATTTCCACGTTAATTATTTGTGGCAAAGCCATTGACCTTTTACATTACACCTCCTTTAAATATTTGATCAACTGTAGATTAGAAACTTTACTGGGGGGAGAAGCAGCAGAACGGTCATTATGTAGAAAAAAAATAGAGGATTATATCACAAAAAAAGTATAATTTTGATATATGTTAAGCAGAAACATATAGTGATCATTTACATTTGTGTTTTAGGTTTATAGTTTGAATAGAAAATTGTGTTTTTAATAAAATATCAACTTTAATCCTTAAGTTATGAATAAAGCTAACATCTGCTAACTCCCAAATGATCGCCTGTCTGTTCTGGTTGATTTAACTCACTGACTGCATCTATGAAATGCCCCTGAGTTTTCCACGGACATTTCAGCTCACTAATCCTCAGTTTGACCCTTTGGACTTTGTTTTTTTCCTCATATCTTGTGGACTTCCTCTGGGTGAGTTTTGTCCTTGAAAAGGACAGAAAGTCGGAGAAGCGGATGGCGTGTTCTCCTGCTGGACAGATTCAGTCACTAATTCAGTTATTATGAAGTAACGTGTTGTTAACTAATCATTCAGAGCCTCCTTCAGTACGTCCTCTAAACTCCGAACAGCTTGTTTATTTTACACATTAGAAATTAAGAGTAAAATAAGATTTTCTTAGGCTTCAAAAATCCTATTTTTCAACCTTGGGAACACCATCTTTATGAGCGGACATTTTTTTCTGTCAACAAGATGTAATATTAGCCTCCTGTGTGACCTGTAATGGATTTCTATGGGAATATTGTCACGTCCCTACTCAGCATTCCTCTTATTATCTCCTTATCTGTTTATTATTAGGATAAAAATGGGATTTATATTTTTGTAAGGCATCAAAACTGTCTTTTAAAAGTTCTGTGATTGGTTTTAGTCTGCATTTTACTTTTATTATGAATGCTAAAACACATCAAGAGGTCAATACTGCAACTCAAACAAAACCTTTTTTCCACTTTTGATCTTTTTCTTTCAGGCTACGACTTCGCAGCTGTCTTGGAGTGGTTTGCAGAGCGAGTGGACAGGATCATCCTCCTGTTTGACGCTCACAAACTGGACATCTCGGATGAGTTCTCAGAAGTGATAAAAGCTCTGAAGAACCACGAAGACAAGATCAGGTGCTACAAGAATGTGGGGTTTGAATATCAGCGTGTCATGATGAAGACAAAATACTTTCACTTTGCTTCAGGGTTCATGGCAGTGGTGCAGTCTACATTTTTGTAGTGGGTATACTATGCTTAGAAACCAAAGTACACCAGTTAGTACAATGTAATAGTCAGTTTATTTTGATTTTTATTGAACATTTCAAAGTTTCTCTGTTGCTTTTAGTACAACAAACTTTGTACAACAGTTGGCTTTGTATTAAAAACACATTACAGAATTTATAAAGCAGTATCAAAGCAAAACATGTTCAAGTATCAAGTAGTAAGTACAGAAGTATTAATGATACAAAAAACAGGTTGAATCAACTCAATGTGTCTATAAAATGTTCCAGATTTGTTGACAATGACACAAACCCATATCATGTATCTTTGCCAATGATACGTAACATGGGCTTGTGTCATTGGGCACTTTTAAGTGGGTATACTGAAATTCTTAAGCTTTTCTAGTGGGTATACTCCGTATGCTCGTGTGTCACATAGACTACACCACTGGTTCATTGGGCCTCCCTACAGTGTTTAGAGTAGCTTGTTTGTGTTGTTCTCTGCTGTTACAACAGGATGCAGCACAACATGACATAGTACAGTAAGATACAATACTATATGTACTTATTTGTCCCTTTGGGGAAGTTTCTTAAACCCAGTACTGACTCTATGGCTGTCTGAACTAAAAATACAATTAGCTAACAATCAGTCCATTAAAGCCATGGATCTCTAACAGGTACAAGGGCCACGGGTGGTACTCAGGATCTTTCTAGTGCTTGACTTTGGTGTCAGTGATTTAAACTAAATGTGATGTTAATCTAATAAAAATAGATGTTCAAAACTTTGTGTGGTTCAATAAAATTACAATCTTAGCTCCTAATGGAAATGACACAAAACTCTGAATTGAATCTTTTCAGTAATCTTCTAGAACAGGGGTGTCCAGTCCTGGTTTTCGAGGGCCACTATCCTGCATGATTTACTTGTTTTCCTGCTCCAACACGTCTGATTCAGTACTTGAGTTCTAGTTCTGCAGAATCCTGTTCATCCCCCATTGGTTCAAATCGAGTGTGTTAGAGCAGAGAAACCTCTAAAGCATGCAGGATAGTGGCCCTCCAGGACCAAGATTACACACCCCTGTTCTAGAAACTAGTGGATGTTTTATAATGTCAGCCATAATGATGGTACTTGGCGTGCTTAGTATTTTCAGAGGTGGTACTCACTGTGAAACATTTGAGAACTACTGTGTTGAAGCAATACAGTACAAACATAAACTACTAGTGAGATGACCATCAGAAGACCAGGTGAAGGGGAACCCTCTTCGGAAACATAATTGGATTTATGATAACTGGATTCTGCTTTTTGGAGTTGGTGGAAATCTGGGTTGTCGACAGATTCTGAAACATCAGCAGCTGTTTAAGCTGTCTGGAATGTGTGTGCCGGGCTTGGCAACACTCAGACTGTGTGCGAACTATCTGTGGACCTGTATCAGAGCTGAGCAGGCAGGACTGTGGAACTTTGGACTTGCCATGAGATGTACTAGCGAGACTGTAAAAGGCAGACGCAGACATTAAAGAGCTCGCCTGACCCAAAACTGTTGAATCTGAATCTGGCTCCGGCCTGAGAAGGCTGACTATCTCAATTTCTCTTGGATGTTTTGGAAACAAGACAATGATCCCATCCTACAATACCCACACCCTCCCAAGAACATCTGTGGACCCTTACCAGAGTGGACCGGCTGAGAGACACTAACATCTTTATCAGGACTATGGAAACTATCTGGAAGTGTTCATGGACAATCGTCCTCCTCCATGCTTGCAAAATGTATTATGTCTCTCTATGTTTCTTGCTGAGGTAGATTTTTTTGCTACCTTACACCGTGCCCTGTGTCAAGGACACAGTGTGAGAGATATTTTTTTCAAACTTTGTCTCCTCTTGTTTTCTTCCCCTTTTCTTGTCTAAGCGATAACGGCATCGCTCATAGGGAGTCGCAGCCCCGGTACACTTCCGTCTATCCTTCAGATGGCTGTACGGAATGAAGTTTTGCTGTACTTAACTGTACAATGACAATAAAGTTGATTCTGATTCTAAGATCCAATATACAGTCAACTTCAACAGATATACAAATACATGTACATTAAAAAAGTTAAAAAGACCGCTCACACCACAGTAACCATGATCATTGCATAACTCACTCAGACATTGTAAACGTTTTGGCTGATTGATTTTTGCCGTTGTTGTCTTTTTCTCCAGAGTTGTGCTGAACAAGGCGGATCAGATCGAGACCCAGCAGCTGATGAGAGTGTACGGTGCCTTAATGTGGTCGCTGGGCAAAATAGTCAACACCCCTGAGGTAAAACATGCTGCAAACACTGAGGGACAAACGTTTTTAGAGCTGTCCAGATGACCTGACTGAAAAATGTTGGATTTTATACCTGGATTATTGAGCATGGACTTTGTTGTTTTGAGAGCTTCTTTCCTCTGACTCACAGCTCAGAGCCAGAAAAATTCATTTAGAGTTCCTGTAAAGATAAATGTTTTGTCTTGTACCGCTGATATCTTATATTTTACCCACGCTCTTACCGACAGGTGATCCGTGTGTACATCGGCTCATTTTGGTCCCACCCACTGCTGATTCCTGACAACAGGAAGCTGTTTGAAGCAGAGGAGCAGGACTTATTTAAGGATATTCAGTCCTTACCGAGAAACGCAGCACTTCGAAAACTCAACGATCTAATCAAGAGAGCAAGACTAGCCAAGGTAGGACACATCTGGATATGATGCTTCGTCCCAGCAGACATCTTGTTTTGTTGGCAGCATGTCGTGGGCTAAACATTTCATCTACATGACGGCAAGCTAAAGTATTGGGACTCCTGCTGACGTCTTTAAATGTCAGCGTCGTGTGCGTGCGTTTCCTTGTCGTCACTTTTCCAGCTGTTGACCTTGCCAGCAACAACCGATCGCTGTCAGGACCATCAGCGCCGGACAGATGTGGTTATTCTGCACTGAGTGAAATATGTCCCACTTCCTCTCTGAACAGGAGGTCAGGTGGGCGAGGCAGCAGGCTGCTGCTTGTTGTAGTTTGAGGAAACAGTGTGTATATGTGCGCATTTATCAGAGTTTTCTCCTTTGACAGCTGACAGTGTATGTTTTTGTTTCAAGGACACGAGGTGGATGCTGGGAAACGACCACGTCAACAAATTTATACTTTTTTATTTAAATGTAATTTTAATCATGTAAAAAAAGAAAGTTCTAGATATTTTTTTTATGTTAAAGTTTAATTTTGAAGATTTAGTGGGATGTTTAATCTGTAGTTACTGGCTCACAGTGATCTGATAAATTTATTATATGGTTTATTATTACTTATTCTCATTATTTTATTATTAGTAGTATTTGGTTAATTTATTTGGTTTAAGAAGGTTATAACACCAAAAACTTGCATGTTAGTCTGCCTTCAGGCCCAGGCCTCCATTGCAAAAGAGATCTGTGATCTCAGTGGGATTTGCCTGGTTCAATAAAGATTAATAAATAAATAAATAAAATATCAATAAACACTGTTACCTGTTATAGATTTAGAGTCTTGCCCTCCTGGGTTTGGCTTTTAATGCCCTTTACCTTTTCTTGTTCAGTTCTAGGAAGCGTGATGACTCAGGCGTTCCTGGTACTTACAGGATCCACATTTTAGACCCAATTAAATTTGTTTACACTGGTTAGGACAAAATAAATGATAAAATAATAACCATTTGTATCCTAAATGTTTTAGGTCAACTTTGCAATGTTCTGCAAAGATGCTTTGTATTTGCTAATTTCCAGCATCGCTTGTCTGAAAGTGAAAGAGGTGAAGGTAAATCAGCAGGTGGAGCCATACATCAGTAAGATAATCATAGTTTGGTTTGTTTGAGAAATTAAATGTTGTCAAATGTTTCATCAGGAGCTGTTATGACAAACACGACCTTCTTCTACTCTGTATGTGATGTATTCTGCGTGGAACTGACACAAAAGATGCTTAAATTTCCTTAAAAATATAGTTCAGATCTTTTGAAGTGGGGTTCTGTGGAAAGCTTATAAACAATAATATCTTACATGTTGTAGATGACTCTATGAACAGCCTCAGTTTGGAGAAATAAAGTTGAATTCTGACCAGATGGACGAGCTAACAGCTAGACTGAGAAGTTTTTCTCACCACTGTCAGTTTCACATTATACAGTTATTTACGAATAGTTTTATGGTTATCTTGAAATGAATAATTATAATTTATAGTAGTGTGAAAACTTTCATGTGAACTGCTGTGATGTGATTTTGGAGACTTGTCAGGATCTGTTCTTTGGGGTTGTTATCATTTTTTTGTGTTATTTATTTATTTATTGTTCAGATCTATTTTCTTTGTGTTTCAGTTTTTGTCCCATCAGTTTCCTCCTCCTCCTCAGTTTCTGCTCCTCAGCTCTGCCCACTCTCACCTGTTCCCTGTTGTCATTTTGCTCAGGTGTTTCTATTCCTGTCATCAGCCCCTGTACATTAAGTCTTTCATCTTTCAATACCATTCAGTTTATTTATATAGGATTTAGCAAAAAGGAACGTCTTAAGCCTAATTTTAAACTTTCACTTGTGCGAGCTTCATGTCGTATCCAGTCCTCCCCGGTGTCTTCCTGAGGTTTGATTTGTTGTATTTGCTGCAGCTTTTTGTTTAATGAAGTTCAAGTATTTTACTCTGACTCCTCGAGTCCGTCTGCATTCCTGGATCCAACTTTCACAAACTGTGACGAGTTGTTTTAAGACGGCAGAAATTCACTTTGGTTTTGGCTCATCTCAAACTAGCCTTTAGCACGACTGTCCGCTCAGAGCTCATCTCTGTTGCTGGATTCATAAACTGCCACCACAAATTCAACCTACGGTTATAGATATAATTTCTGGACATTAAGGAAATCTGCCTGTATGCCTTTTTCTGAGAAAATATAAAAAAACGCATTTTGTGTGTCACCACCTGTAGGTTCATGCCTACATCATCAGCTCACTGAAGAAAGAGATGCCCTCTGTGTTCGGGAAGGAGAACAAGAAGAAAGAGCTGATCGGAAGTCTCGGAGACATTTACAAACGCATCGAAAGAGAGCACCAGATCTCCCCGGGGGATTTTCCCAATCTGAAGAAGATGCAGGTAAACTAAAAGGGACGCATATTTTAGATTTATCGATGAAGTTTGGATTAGAAGAGAAGTTCTGGTTGTTTTGTCTTTCAGGACCAGCTGCAAGATCAAGACCTCACCAAGTTCCAGCCTCTCAAACCCAAGCTCTTGGAGGCCGTCGAGGACATGCTAGCCTCCGACATTGCTAGCTTGATGGTTCTGGTCCGCCAAGAGGAAACTCAGCATCCCAACTCGGTGGTGAAGGGCGGCGCGTTCGACGGCACTTTGAACGGTCCGTTCGGTCACGGGTACGGCGAAGGAGCCGGCGAGGGCATCGACGAAGCCGAGTGGGTCGTCGCTCGCGACAAACCTGCTTACGACGAGATTTTCTACACTCTGTCCCCCGTCAACGGCAAGGTGACGGGTGCCAACGCTAAGAAGGAGATGGTGAAGTCCAAACTGCCCAACACGGTTCTGGGAAAGATCTGGAAGCTGGCCGACATCGATAAGGACGGGATGCTCGACGACGAGGAGTTTGCTCTGGCCAATCACCTGATAAAGGTGAAACTGGAAGGACATGAACTGCCGTCAGAGCTGCCTGCACACCTCATACCTCCATCCAAGAGGAAAATATCTGAATAAAATGAGAGATTATTCCGTAAGCTGCGTTAAAATCCCCCCATCTCTAGAACCACCCCCCCATACAGCACATGATGCACTAATTCTAACATCCAGTCCTTTCATTTCCATCATCACCATATCTGTAGTCTTAACCCAAGCAAACACTTAGAAACATTACAAGCTATTAAACACTAAAACATCTTTATCCTGCTGGTTAAATCCACCCGTTAGATCTCACCCGCCGTAGTGATTAATATATTTTAACAGCAACAAAAAGCCTTTATTAGGTCTAAGTAGTATTTACAGAACAGCTCCAAGAGCTGCTTTGTACCTAAAGCTGGGCAGTAAGTAGGACAGATCAGGTGATGAGTTAAAAACAGAAACACTGGAACTCGAACAAAAACTACTGGAACAGAACAGAACACTGTGAACTCAGATGGAAAAGAAGAAACTCAAACGGCTTATTCCTGATAAATCTTTACCTGTTATAAGATGAAGATGAGCTGCAGCCTGCCCTGCCAGGTGCCATGTTTTCTTTTGTCCTCCTGGTGGAGACGGGCGGTCCGGTCTTTATTTAAAGACAACATAATAGACGGAGAGTTTCTGGAAGGCAGGAGAATACATGAACAACAGACAAAAGGTAATTCTGCTTTGAAATAGATCACTAATTATCCTGAAAATCAAAGAATAAATGGGTTTGACCTGGATGGACCTTTGACGTCTGTTTTATGATTAATAAATAATCTCATTAACATGTACTGATACTGTGATTATAAAAACACTATATTCTGATTATCGTGTGGACTGGAACTTTGAATGTTTAGTGCAGACGTTCTGTGTTTGTATGATTCTGAACATGTATCTGTGCTAATATTTGTATGTATCATTATTAGGGATGCACAATATTGGATCTTTGGCCGATATCCATCCATCCATCCATCCATTATCTTTACCGCTTATTCCATTTTGGGTCATGGGGGTCGCTGGTGCCCATGTCCAGCAATCACTGTGCGAGGGGCGGGGTACACCCAGGATGGGTTGCAAGTCCATCACAGGGCCACATGGAGACAAACGAGACAAACAACCATTCACTCTCTCACTCACACCTAGGGACAATTTAGAGTTACCAGTTAGCCTAACATGCATGTTTTTGGTCTGTGGGAGGAAACCGGAGTACCCGGAGAAAACCCACGCATGCACGGAGAGAACATACAAACTCCACCCAGAAAGGCCCCTGGACTGGGGTTTGAACCAAGGACCTGCTCTGGCCGATATCCGTTATGCCAATATGTTAAAACTTATTTGGCCAATAACCAAAAATGATGTAACACTTCAATTTGGATTATGTTTAATGTCAAATTTATTCATAACATTTACTCTCTCTAACACAATGACAACACTCAAACAGTGCAAATTTGTAAACTTTCACAAATCTAAACTCAACCTGTTCACAAGCGACAAGTTAAAGCACATAAGTAATAGTGCTTTAATATATATACTTGACAGTTTCTTAAATTAAAAATTAACTTGATACAGAAGCCTTTTATATCAGTGAGTTATTTTGATGGAATGGCCGATATTTAACTTTACTGCTAATATTGGCCGATACAGTACTATACCGATAATATCGTGCATCCCTAATTATCATCACACAGTCCTCTGAGTGGGTTATTATTTGGAAATTGTTTAGTTAGTTTATACAAGATTATCTAAAAATAACAAATTAGTCCAAAAACTAAACAAAACTTAGCTTTTCCTTTCTTTTGTCGGGGCTATGATTTAAAATATGTTTTGAATAACTTTCTGTAATATTTCCTTTACAGTATTTTGGATATGTTACTTCAGTTTTATGCCAGTATATGTAGTAACATTATCAAATATGAGATGAAACACATACGATTTGATTCCATGTTGTGGGAAACGTTAAACATGGTGAATGAGTAAGAGTGTTACAGACAGGAAATATTTCCTAATTCATGGCCTTTTTTTGGTTCGAGTATTTCTGTGCTTCTGCTGTAAATCTAATGTAAAGATTAAATGCATTCCATGAATCCAGATTGAGGCAGAGAGTCTGAGAGAGTTCACCTCCCCTCAGATAAAGTCAGATACGACGCCACACTCACTCCATCTTTTCGATTAGTTAAATTCCTGCACGCTGATATGATTAATATGTTTAATCGTATGCTCAAGTATCAGGTTAGCTAAGATAACCTACCGCTGACTGTCATTTCTATATGTTCAAAGATTTCATTAGTTTCTGACAAGAGTCCAAAAATTTAAAAAAAGCCAAACTCCTCCACAGCTGCATCAAACTTTCACGATATTCTCTGCACATCAATCTGCATTTGCTGAAACTTTTCAAAACCTGGCTCCCACTTTGACCATCAGCAGCCAGGAGGTCGCTACCATCATCCTGCACGCTGCGCTCATCACGTTTCATCGGTTCGGTTCAAATGTGGAGGAGATGCTTGAATGTGGTGAGTTCACAGATCGCAACGTGGTGGGCAGGTGGAGTGGACGAACTGGTCACAGTGTGTTGTTCAACATGTTCTTCACTGATTTACTGTCAGAATAAAAGGTCCAAACATGTAATAAAGATCATTTCTTCAACTCTCTGAGCTTTGACTTTGATTTATGTGATAACGGAGAGCCTACGTATGAAACTCATCTTCACAAAACAACCAGTAAAAATAGACATAAATTTGAATGCATCTCATTAAAAGAACAGTTTTGATCTTTTAAGTGGAGTTCTGCGGGAAGCTTATGCACAAATGATATCTTACCTGTCGTAGATGTCCCTTGACGTTCTCTGGAGAAAGTAATGTTCAAATTGATGAGCTGAAGGCTAACGAAAAAGGTTAAATCATGTCATCAACCTTTTTTTGTTATCTACCTGGATGATTGAGCTTACAAATCTTTTTTTTTTTTTTTTTTTAGCTAAAGGCTAGTTCGGACCAAGCAAAAACTTCATAGCCTTTTACTTGAACACTGTTTTTAAAAAAGTTTACATCCATAATAATTCCACATTATGTGGCTAATCCAGCTTAAACACAATATTCATGTTGGAAGTGCCTCAGGCTGCTATAAAGAGCTACAGCTAGCTGATGCTGATACTCACTGTTTGTAAATAAGCATGTTGTGCAAAACTGACAGCAGTGTATTATAAAGCAGCATTCATAAACCACTTCTAAATATTTAGGATTTAAAGTGTTTTGGACCCACAGCAATCCACGTTGGCCATGGTCAGTTTACTAGACTTTACTAATGGGCTATAAGAGAGGAAATATCCAGTGAGCAGCAGTTGTGTTGGTGAAAATGCCCAAATGGGCAGACTGGTTTTGGGATGACAGAAAGGCAAAAGAAGCTAAAAAAAAATCTCTTGTTACAGCCGAGGTGTGCAGGTATCCATCCCTGAATGCACAACGTGTCCATCTTTGAAGCAGATTGTTTACAGCAGCAAAAGCTAATCAGCTAAAATCAGAAGCATTAAGCTACACTTTACACAGGCTCACCAGAAATGTTTAAAGAAGAGATGTGGCCGATGAGTCTTGGTTCACTGGACTCTATATTGGTCTCCACAGTACCCAAATCCAGCAGAACCTCCAGCAGAACCTTTGGGACATGTTGGAACTGGAGATTAGCATCACGAATGTGCAGCTGACAAAACTTTGACTCTGTGCCATGAAGGATTAAAGTCGGTCTAAAGGGGTGCAAATCTCCAAGCTGAGGTTATCCACGGATCTATCTGCAGCAGGTAAGATATTAACTGTTTGACCTTTCCAATGAACCTGACTTCAAATGATCAGAGCTGTCACGTTCAGGGTGAATCTGACCGACTTTGGAAAGAGTCTGATAATCAAACATAAGGTGTGAGTTACAGCGTGGAATGGACGAGGCATTCCTCCATGTTGTTCCTTCTTATCCAGAGTTCAGCTCAGGGAGGTTTTCTTTCTGCAGCGTGTCAAACGCAGCTCGCGATAAGTTAGTTATTACTGCTTCTTCGAATCTACTGCCTTATAAAGATTGTGTTTACACGTGTTCCCAAGACTATGTGTAGAGTTTGTAACATGTTAAATGACCTACGGATGACAGGAAGTGGATCGAGTGACTCCAGCTTGGAGCCACAGAAATGTTTTTCTATCATCCAGGGGCATGTGTGTGTGTACACACACACACACACACACACACAGGTTTGTTTTGCTATCTTTGTGGGGCCTTTGCATTGACTTCCATTCATTTTTCATTCATTTCTATAGCCTAACCATGACCTTTATCCATAACCTAACCATTACCAGTACATACCTAACCCTAAACCTAACACATCCTCAATTCACACCTTAGTCCTAAACCTAGCCCCTAACCCACCAACGGGACTTCTTCTTATGGGGCCCGGGCTTTGGGCCCCATAAGGAGCAGTTGGGCCCCACAATGTAGTATAAGTTGGAAAAATGGGCCTCACAAAGTAGCATAAACAAGGACACACACACACACACACACACACAGAGGCCACATGCAGAGAAGATGGAGCACTCTCTTCCCTCACGCAGGATGTTCTGTTCTTGTCCACCACTTCCTGTCTGTTGACCCCTCTCTGCCTCGCTCATGGACGCACACATCCTCTGCTGACTATTATTAACTTTAACATGTTGCAAAGAAAACAAAGAATAAAACCAGATTCATTTAAGGCTTGACAGTCGTGGATGTTCTGAATTGTTAAAAACAGTTATTTTCTGGTGTGTGTGTGTATCCTGTTGTTTAGGAACTGTCTCTTGATAACAAAACTAAATTTAAGGAATAGTTAGGGGAAAAGAGCAGTTTGAACTATTTTAACAACATCATTTGTTTTTTTCCAGGACAGTGAGGAGGACTACGACTGGATGACGAGGAGAGAGTCGGAGACAGATGAAATTAGTTTGAGCTCCACTTTTATCTTTCCAGCTGGAAAACACTCACAAATCTCCAACTGCTTTGGCAAGGAGCAATAAATACGAGAGATCTGTCACCAGGAATGCATGAACGAGTGCGTATGTTGGTGCTGTGAGCGTGATGACATCAGGAAGCTGTTCATCAACTGAATCTGGGATTTCAGAGCGCCCACAGATTGAAGCGATGGCTGAAATTCCTCTCAGTCTGACCAGTTTGTTTGTGGTGGAAAAGGTTTTTCTTTGTTTTGCACCTTCACAGATCGATCTTCATCTGATCAGGTTTGTGTCTAAAGCTCTCCTTGACCTCGGATCTCATCAGCCTGAGGACAGTTTGTGTCCCACATGCCATTTTTCACCTGCAGGTCCTCTCAGCCTTGTGGTGCTGCTGCTGTTGTTATCTTTAAGCAGTGGTGGACAACAAACTCATTTCTAGTACTTAAGTAAAAGTATTGCTACTCATCATGGTCAAATCTTACTCAACTACAAGTAAAAGTTGCTCAGTCAAAAGTTTACTCAAGTTAAAGTACTGAAGTACTTACTTTTGGAAATACTTCAAAAGTACATGCATTTAAAAATACTCAAGTATTTAAAAGTACAAATTATATTTTCACATATCAGTATATTGCTGTATTGTTTTGAGTGATTTTACAGAACTTGTAACTCTCTGAAACCACCTGATGATGTATTGACATGTAGAACCAGGGCCGGCCCAAGCCTCCATTGAAATTTGGTTTAGGGCCCCCCTATTTCTGCTAATAATGTGGATTA